TATTACTCATCCCCCCCAACCCCACTCATTAAAAAAGAACAAAAATGCACCCGATCCAAAGATCCCCACAGAGCCCCATTCAAACATCTTCCTTCAAGCGATCCTCTGCATTTTGGCTAAACCCTTTCAGTCAGTGGGCTCTTCCTGCGCCTCATCAACATCACACTCTTCCTCTTCCTGCGCCTCATCAACATCACACTCTTTCCTCTTCCTGCGCCTCATCAACATCACACTCTTCCTCTTCCTGCGCCTCATCAACATCACATCTTCCTCTTCCTGCGCCTCATCACATCACCTCTCTCTTCCTGCGCCTCATCAACATCACACTCTTCCTCTTCCTGCAGCTCATCAACATCACACTCTTCCTCTTCCTGCGCCTCATCAAACATCACCCCTCTTCCTCTTCCTGCGCCTCATCAACATCACACTCTTCCTCTTCCTGCGCCTCATCAACATCACACTCTTCCTCTTCCTGCGCCTCATCAACATCACACTCTTCCTCTTCCTGCGCCTCATCAACATCACACTCTTCCTCTTCCTGCGCCTCATCAACATCACACTCTTCCTCTTCCTGCGCCTCATCAACATCACACTCCTCCTCTTCCTGCGCCTCATCAACATCACACTCTTCCTCTTCCTGCGCCTCATCAACATCACACTCTTCCTCTTCCTGCGCCTCATCAACATCACACTCTTCCTCTTCCTGCGCCTCATCAACATCACACTCTTCCTCTTCCTGCCGCCTCATCAACATCACACTCTTCCTCTTCCTGCGCCTCATCAACATCACACTCTTCCTCTTCCTGCGCCTCATCAACATCACACTCTTCCTCTTCCTGCGCCTCATCAACATCACACTCTTCCTCTGCAGGGTCACTGTCCTGTTGAGGAGGCTCTAGAGGCTTCTCAATACTCAAATTTCTCTTCGACTCCTCGGTCCTCCGGTAGTGACCCGGAAATGAATTTCAGCGCGCCATTTTGAAGGACGTCTCATTTCTCTAAATGCACACCGAGGACCGAGGATCGAGCGTCGAGGAGGCTCTCTGGAGGAGCTCTAACCGAGGAGACACTGATGGTCCTCCACGGCTCCTCCGCGGATGCATTTCCGGGAACGGTGGAGGCGTGACGCACGGCCGGACTTATCTCAGCCAATGGCAGCTCTGCATGCATCCTCTGGATATTATTTTAGAAACTGCTTTCATCGCGATGCGATGTTTACAGTGAGAACAGCTGTGAGGTCCGTGCAGAAAGCAGAGCAGTGTGTATAATATATATCACTCAGTATAATAGGCCTACATTACTCTCTTTATTTGCTGTAGTACAAAGAGTCGATATTTTTCTAAGACCATTTAGTGCGTCACATAATAAAATACACAACGGCTGTAGCCTGATTATGCTTTAGGAGCTGTAAGTGTGTGTTGTAGGCAGTGTGTATGTGTGTGTGTGGTACAGTATGTAGGTGTGTGTTGTACAGTGCGTAGATGCGGCGGACAGACGGGTTGGTTTGGTGTCCTCTGCTTACTTTTAATTTAATTTCAAATCTTTATTTATACAGATAAATCCCATTGAGATCATTGATCTCTTTTTCAAGGCAGACCTGCTCAAGTAGTTCCACATGAAACATAAATAGAACAACAAAAGGACATCATACAGCATCATTTACATAATGATCCACATGAACAGGTACCAATAGCTTCCGATTGAGTAGCATCCAACCGAGCTTTAAAAACATTTAGTGGCACCAGATTGCTCAGTTTCCATTTAATTTGCAGACTGTTCCAAGACAGAGGAGCTGCGCATCTAAAAGCTGTCTTCCCTAAGACAGTCCTAGCAGCTGGCTCATTTAATAAAACCACAGCATGCGATCTCAGGCAGCAGCCACTGACAATTCTCCGTGAGATCAGGGAGCAGATATAAGGTGGAAGTTTCCCTAACATGGCTTTGTATGTTAGGGAAACTTCCATCTTATATCTGCTCCCTGATCTCAGGGTGAATTGTAAGTGGCTTATTATTATTATTACAAGTTAATACTTAATACAACTTTTGGCCCGTAATTTCAATTCCCCATTTCAGCGACCAGAGAGAGGGGGGGGATATATCCAGTCTCTGATTGTGTTACGTTATTATGAGAGTGCTCTCATACTTTCAATTGTATATATTTATATAAATATATTTGTGTGTGTGTGTGTCCGCGTCTGTAGCCTGTTATTGTCTCATTATACCGCACTCTCAATGAATTCAAAGTAAATATGTGGGGGAACAATGTTCAGCTGATCTAACAGAGATACAGCGCTATGACAAAACACTCGACAGCTGATGCAGCTGTTGCCACGTAATAATGAACGGACGTCTCTTTAAAATGACCGCTCAGAGGAGAGGAGTTCTCATTTCTTTAAACGCCTGCTGCTTCCCCTCCTCTCTCCTCGGCTCCCCTCCTCTCTCCTCGGTTCCCCTCCTCTCTCCTCGGCTCCCCTCCTCTCTCCTCGGTCCTCCGCTCGCATCTCCTGTGGGCGGTTCTAAGTATCGAGGAGGGGAAATTTGAGTATTGAGAAGCCTCTTCTGTGTCCGTCCGGCTCAGAGACCCTAAGGTTCGCCCGAATGCCAACCAGTTTTTCCACTCTCACATTTGTGAGCCTGCTGCGAACCTTTGTGTGGTCTCAATAGCCATGCAGGAAGCCGTGTGCTACGGCATGGATATTCAAGTGTGCTTGGATGGCATCTGATTGTTTTAGTCAAGATTATGCTTAAATATACTTTCCCCAACTATATCTAAGTTCCCTGAAGAGCCAACCTTCCATTTAGAAAATTCCCAGTTTATTCCCATGGAAAGTTTCCATCTTTGAAAATTCCCAGAATGTTGCAACCCTAGCTGCTAACTGGCTAATGTTAGCTAGTGCTCCTCCCTACATTGTGATGTGCTATATGTGACATGTAGTAACGTGTGTTGTTTATTGTTCTCTTTCATCCTTTCTTTATAACTAGTGCTGTTGATGTATTGTGATTTTAAAAAGGTGTCTGTTATCATCTGGGGACAGCAGCTGGAAATGAGCCATGTTGGCTAAAGCCAGTGGGGACTGTCCACGACACTATAAACTAAATAAATAAAACAACTAAACTGAAGTGAAGGGTTTAAAGGGTATGTGTGCTTCATGTCTTTAACATCAGGTACGGCAGAGACTCACCTGAGTTTGGCGGTGCGGAGGATCCTGGTGAGAGACACGCAGTTTCCCTCCATCAGTCCTTTACCCACGGTGGGAGTGGAGCCCTTCCTGCAGGCAGCGTACAGAGAGCAGGCCAACCAGTGCACCACCTCCCCCTGCACACACACACACACACACACACACACACACACGTTAAAACAAGCATTATGCAAGATATGAACAGGAAGCTCTCCAGTCACCTATTGTTATAAAACTCTCCCTGGTCTCCCGGCGTGAGCTTGAACCTCAGGATCCATGTATCTGTGATCCTCTCCAGAATGGAAGGAGTCATCACATACAGAGCATCAACTAGTTCCTGAACAGTGTCCTTCACATGCTGATATCCAAGAGAGGGAGTCACACAGTCACAAGATGGAGGAATACCGGGTCTTCTAGGTAATCACACATCCTGTCATGAACACAGCTACAGTTGAGATACCTTTGTTATCATGTTACTCTCATTGGAAGAGTACATTCAGTGTTTTCCCAACAGTAAGATAATAAAGCTTTATTTATACAGCACTTTTCATACGGCACATGCAGCTCAAAGTGCTTTACAAAATGGCGACACATCACAAGTTAAAAATAAACAAGAAATTCACCTCAGATCAGATGTTAAGACCTTTACAGATACACGCAGCACAATATAACATTTAAGAGAAACAAGGAGGTCAACTGTATGATAATACAAATACATAAATAATGATCTCTCTGACAGATAAGACACAAGACAAGTGAGTCGATGCAACAATATGAAACACTATAAAATAATCCACTACACACACACACACGGTTTAGATTGAAAAGCAGCTAAATATTTTAAGACCACAGAAAAACAACGACCCCGTGACTTATAGTTCTGCTGCATCTGATGAGTGACTAGAAAAGAGAATCTTAACGAAGCAAAGATCAAAACAAGACCTAGCACATATCAGACCATCGGTTTTAGAAAGGAGATGATAAAGGAAAAAGCATGACCACGTTCTTAATCAAAATATGTTCCTTGCCACCACTAGTGTCACTTTGTAGAGTGACACAGGACCAAGCAGAGTCAGCTGACATGTAGTGCCATACATCCCCTCATGTCAAACCCTACGGAGAGGAGTTGTGACGAAGTGTTAGTAAAGTCATGTTTATCCTTGTGTTCGATAACACTCATTGAATCCCTGGCACTGTGTTGCCAGATTTCACATTTCATATTACCCTTAATCAGAGGAATCAATAACGAAGATAAATGCCAGCCCTATTAGAAAAGAGCTTTGTAATAAAAAGGGGATTGTGTTTTTGCTAAATTCATATCACAGAAAGGGAACGCCTTTAGATTCAAATATAAAGATTAGATGGAGAAAGCATTCATAAGTGTTTGTGTGCACTGCAGACGTTAGCAATGCGTCAGGAAATCAGTGTTTTTTATATTTAGCTGCAAAATAACGAAAGTTAGAAGTGTACAATAATGTTCTCTGAAATGTTGAGTGATTGGAGGAGAAGTAAACAGTTGTTGAGTAACAGTAGTTATTATTATCAGATTAAAAACATTATTTAACATATTATTAAGAAAGAAAAGTAAATGAAACCCAGTGACTGTAGTAATATTGAATCATTCTTGTTGATTTATATTTGGTTTCATTAATCTGCAATCTTCTAACTAAAGTGAGCCAAAGGTAGTATAATAACTAACATTATAAAGTAGGTAAAGAAAATAAGATTAGAGGTAAACACACGTGTCAGCTGAAGCCCAGTGTGTGTGTCCAGAACAACACAGCTAGTCGTATTTAATTAATCATAATGTATTTGTTGAGTTATATCTGGTATCATTCATCTGCAGTCTTATAACTAGAGTGAGCCAAATGTAGTATAAAACAAACATTATTAAGTAGGTAAAAACGTGTGCGTTATTACCTTAAATCCTGATGTATTTGATGAGGTGAATATTATTTATCATTCATCTGAATCTGCAAAGTAGCTACGTTTACCTATAGTGACTGCATTAATACACTAAAATCTAAGTGTGACAACATAGAAAATACACACGTCAAGTATAACTTCCTGAAAATAGTATTTAAGTAGAGTAGTTAAGAACCACTGAATACAGGATTTAACGTTATTACGTAGATATAAACAAAGAGATTAGACATGACAACAATGGTCAGTCGAAGCCCTTTAACCCAGTGTTTATGTCCCACGCGGATCTCTGTTTACTTTACAGCAGGATAAAAGTGACGGGTAATTCACTAACTCTGCAGCCCTGAGTTTTACACACTAAAATGGGGTCTTTAAATATCCACAGAGGTTATTTAGAGGACATTACTGACCTCCAGGGTGTATGTGTTCCAGATGGCAGTGAAGTTCTCCAGTGTTTCTGCGGCTGTCTGCTCGTCCATGTTCAGTTCCTGGCACAGAGTCTCCAGGCTCCTCCGAACCGAGCTCTCCTCCATCCTGCCCGACTCAGAATCGGACGACTCTTCGCCCCGCATCCGTAAAAACTAAACAAAACTCCAATAAAAAAACCCAAAACAACAAAACACGACAACAACTCGCTTCTCTACCACGACGTCCCAAAGCACTTCCGCTTACCATACCCACAATGCACTGCGTTGGCGCGAAAACCGCCAGGCATCGACCAATCAGAAGGCGAGGTGGGCGAGGGTAAAGCGTCGCGTCTCGGGAGCTGTTGTAAACCAATCCCCTGCCTTCTACTGATCACGTGCAACCAGCCAACCGTTACTTAGCGACCGATGCTGACTACAGCTCCACACCGGAAACACTTACTTTTTGTTGTTGTTTTTTTAATAAATGGAGGCGTTTCAGGCTTTAATGTTCAAAAAGCTCTTTCTTTTTCTCATACTGCCGTGCTGTAGCACCTCTTTTCACCCTCTGTCTGAAACCAGAAGTAAATAAAGGACTCTGTTTCAGGCAGGGGGGAGAGAAACTTTTCCTTTGCAGAACATTTACATGCACTAAAACCTATAAAACACACTACAGGAGAGGGGAAACCCCCAAAAGCAGAATAGGAAGGAAGTTAGGAACCCTTTAAAAATGCAAGAAAGAAGAAACACCATATATTTTGTTTTTGTCGATTTTATTTCATCAGGAAAGTTCAAAAGAAACGTAAACCCAGTGATTACATTTGTAGATGAACACTACGATTATTTTATAACAACATCGAGTACAATTTATGAATATAATCAGCAAAAGTAGAGAAACAAAAACAGCACACTTCTAATCCGATATCTTCAAAATCTACACAATTTCTTTTTATAATCTCACACAGATTAATTAATTGCATGCAGTGTATTACATTGTTTAATAACCCAAGGAGGTTAAAGCCCCGATGGTGCTGCATATAACTGAAGTCAGATTAAAATGGTACCCAACACACAAAACAAACATGTCGCTAATTATATCAAAAACAACTATTTCCACTTAATTCTTCATGTTAAAATGATTGTAATTGTTCTACAGAAAATTAGTAATTATTAACCTGCACCCTCACAAACTTAGAAATATCTGCTAATGAAGTGAGTGAGTGAGTGAGTGAGTGAGTGAGTGAGTGAGTGAGTGAGTGAGTGAGTGAGTGAGTGAGTGAGTGAGTGAGTGAGTGAGTGAGTGTGTGTGTGTGTGTGTGTGTGTGTGTGTGTGTGCGTGTGTATGTGTATGTGTGTGCGTGCATGTGTGTGTGTGTGTGTGTTTGTGTGTGTGCACGTATGTGTATGTGTTCTTAGTGAGTGCTGTATCTGGAGTTGTTCCTGGTCTCCGTTGTCTTGATCAGCAGTTTTGGAGCAGGAGAGGAGCTGTTACTGTGGTAGCCATTAGTACTTTTAGTACCTGGAGAGAAAAAGAGGGGAATTAATTAATAAATAAAATAACTAAGACAGTCTGTCTGCTGCATAAATGTGTGCATCACTTTTTAGTGTCCCCTGGTTTCCGTTGTGCTTTGAGCTTCTTGCAGCGTTTTGTATTTGCAGCTTTTAGTAAACGCTGCTCATGTTTCCTGAAGTTGCTGAAGATGTGTCTTCATTTGTGTTTTTATATTGCATCGGGGCTTTTCTCCTATGGTAATGTTTTGGGTCGTTGTAGTGTGCAGTGAAATGTTATTAAGTATAATTACGACTGTGATGAAGTGCAAGTTGTAAGGACATGTACTTTACTTATGTATTTCCATTTATACGGAAAACAGTTAAATAATAATACAAACTTAAAAAATGGACACGTCTACACCTTCCTCAGTGTGGGGGGAGTGTGTTACTTACTGTAGTTGGTCACAGTCTGGATGTTGAGGATGGACTGATGTCCGAGTCTGCAGAAGAAGAAGAGACAGAGAGAGAGTGTTGGTGTGTGTTTTATTGTACAGAAAGACACACACACTTTATGAAACTCCTCTCCTCCTCTCACCTGTCCTCCTCGCCCTCCAGCAGCTTCCTGTAGGTGGCGATCTCAATATCCAGAGCCAGTTTCAGGTTCATCAGGTCCTGCAGGCCAAGGAGAAAACACACTTAAGTTGCCATGCAATCCTGCAGCGTTCAGACCATTGCTTTTCTCAGAGGGAACCAGGGAGATGCTAAACATCATCACTGCAGCACTCCATCCTTCAGATCTGCCTTCAGCCCACATCCTGAATAGGTCTCTCTCACCTGGTACTCCCGCAGCTGCCGGGCCATGTCCTGTTTGGCTCTCTGCAGAGCGTCCTCCAGGTCTCTGGTCCGAGCTTTGGCCTCCTTCACAGCCAGCTCTCCACGCTCCTCAGCCTCCGCCAGCTGGTTCTCCAGAGCCCCGCGCTGAGAAAACACAACAACAACTCAAGCATGCTGGATCTGAAGTCTCCCCAAACACATCCGTGACTGCCCTGATCTCTTATTCTTCTTATAGACACATGCATTTCCAAGCATCTGGACTATGTTGTAAATGTATTATCTTTTCAATTTACACACAGCATCTATTGCACGTCTGTCCGTCCTGAGAAGCATCCTCCTCTGTTTCTCCTCGAGGTTTCTAACATTTTTCCCCGTTAACTGGGTTTCTCCCATTAACTGAGGGGTTTCTCCCATTAACTGGGTTTCTCCCATTAACTGGGGGGTTTCTCCCATTAACTGGGTTTCTCCCATTAACTGAGGGGTTTCTCCCATTAACTGGGTTTCTCCCATTAACTGGGTTTCTCCCATTAACTGAGGGGTTTCTCCCATTAACTGGGTTTCCCCCATTAACTGGGTTTCTCCCATTAACTGGGTTTCCCCCATTAACTGGGTTTCCCCCATTAACTGGGTTTCTCCCATTAACTGGGTTTCTCCTATTAACTGGGTTTCTCCCATTAACTGGGTTTCCCCCATTAACTGGGTTTCTCCCATTAACTGGGTTTCTCCTATTAACTGGGTTTCTCCCATTAACTGAGGGGTTTCTCCCATTAACTGGGGGGTTTCTCCCATTAACTGGGTTTCCCCCATTAACTGGGTTTCTCCCATTAACTGGGTTTCTCCTATTAACTGGGTTTCTCCCATTAACTGGGTTTCCCCCATTAACTGGGTTTCTCCCATTAACTGGGTTTCTCCTATTAACTGGGTTTCTCCCATTAACTGAGGGGTTTCTCCCATTAACTGGGGGGTTTCTCCCATTAACTGGGTTTCTCCTATTAACTGGGTTTCTCCCATTAACTGAGGGGTTTCTCCCATTAACTGGGGGGTTTCTCCCATTAACTGGGTTTCTCCCATTAACTGAGGGGTTTCTCCCAGGGGGGTTTCCCCCATTAACTGGGTTTCTCCCATTAACTGGGTTTCTCCCATTAACTGGGTTTCTCCCATTAACTGGGTTTCTTCCATTAACTGGGTTTCTCCCATTAACTGGGTTTCTCCTATTAACTGGGTTTCTCCCATTAACTGGGTTTCTCCCATTAACTGGGTTTCTTCCATTAACTGGGTTTCTCCCATTAACTGGGTTTCTCCTATTAACTGGGTTTCTCCCATTAACTGGGTTTCTCCTATTAACTGAGGGGTTTCTCCTATTAACTGGGTTTCTCCTATTAACTGGGTTTCTCCTATTAACTGGGTTTCTCCCATTAACTGGGTTTCTCCCATTAACTGGGTTTCTCCCATTAACTGAGTTTCTCCTATTAACTAAGGGGTTTCTCCCATTAACTGGGTTTCTCCCATTAACTGAGTTTCTCCTATTAACTAAGGGGTTTCTTCCATTAACTGGGTTTCTCCCATTAACTGGGTTTCCCCCATTAACTGGGTTTCTCCCATTAACTGGGTTTCTCCTATTAACTGGGTTTCCCCCATTAACTGGGTTTCTCCCATTAACTGGGTTTCTCCCATTAACTGGGTTTCTCCTATTAACTGGGTTTCTCCCATTAACTGAGGGGTTTCTCCCATTAACTAAGGGGTTTCTCCCATTAACTGAGGGGTTTCTCCCATTAACTGAGGGGTTTCTCCCATTAACTGGGTTTCTCCCATTAACTGGGGGGTTTCTCCCATTAACTGGGTTTCTCCTATTAACTGAGGGGTTTCTCCCATTAACTGGGTTTCTCCTATTAACTGGGTTTCTCCTATTAACTGGGTTTCTCCTATTAACTGAGGGGTTTCTCCCATTAACTGAGGGGTTTCTCCTATTAACTGTGGGGTTTCTCCCATTAACTGAGGGGTTTCTCCCATTAACTGAGGGGTTTCTCCCATTAACTGAGGGGTTTCTCCCATTAACTGAGGGGTTTCTCCCATTAACTGGGTTTCTCCCATTAACTGGGGGGTTTCTCCTATTAACTGGGTTTCTCCTATTAACTGAGGGGTTTCTCCTATTAACTGAGGGGTTTCTCCTATTAACTGAGGGGTTTCTCCCATTAACTGAGGGGTTTCTCCCATTAACTGAGGGGTTTCTCCCATTAACTGAGGGGTTTCTCCCATTAACTGAGGGGTTTCTCCCATTAACTGAGGGGTTTCTCCCATTAACTGGGTTTCTCCCATTAACTGAGGGGTTTCTCCCATTAACTGAGGGGTTTCTCCCAGGGGGGTTTCCCCCATTAACTGGGTTTCTCCCATTAACTGGGTTTCTCCTATTAACTGGGTTTCTCCCATTAACTGAGGGGTTTCTCCCATTAACTGGGTTTCTCCCATTAACTGAGGGGTTTCTCCCATTAACTGAGGGGTTTCCCCCATTAACTGGGTTTCTCCCATTAACTGGGTTTCTCCTATTAACTGGGTTTCTCCCATTAACTGAGGGGTTTCTCCCATTAACTAAGGGGTTTCTCCCATTAACTGAGGGGTTTCTCCCATTAACTGAGGGGTTTCTCCCATTAACTGAGGGGTTTCTCCCATTAACTGAGGGGTTTCTCCCATTAACTGAGGGGTTTCTCCCATTAACTGAGGGGTTTCTCCTATTAACTGAGGGGTTTCTCCTATTAACTGAGGGGTTTCTCCCATTAACTGAGGGGTTTCTCCCATTAACTGAGGGGTTTCTCCCATTAACTGAGGGGTTTCTCCCATTAACTGAGGGGTTTCTCCCATTAACTGAGGGGTTTCTCCCATTAACTGAGGGGTTTCTCCCATTAACTGAGGGGTTTCTCCTAACTGGGGGGTTTCATTACATTACATTGCATTTAGCTGACGCTTTTATCCAAAGCGACTTACAATAAGTGCGTTCGACTAACAAAATATAAACTTGAAGAAAACAGAATCATATAAGTACATCAGGTTTCATAGAGCAAAAACATTTCAAGTGCTACTCAACTGGCTTTAGGTAAGCCAGTCCTTTATTAGTATATAAGTGATTTGTTAATAGTTCTATCACTCGAAGTGGGGGGTTTCTCCCATTAACTGAGGGGTTTCTCCCATTAACTGAGGGGTTTCTCCCATTAACTGGGTTTCTTTGGAAGTTATTCCTTCTCCGATGTGAAGGTCCAAGGACAGAGGGGTGTCATATTCATATTCTGTACAAACTGTAAAGTCCACTGAGACACATCCACTGAGCTTTATAAATAAACATTGATTGATCTCTCCATGTTCGAATCACAACTCAAAACTCACCTCTTCAGAACTGCTTTTAATCTGTAATTAATGTTGTGTTTTATATATTTTAAGTGTGCTGTTTTAAATTATGTTTGAATGATTTTTAACTCTGTAAAGTGTCTTTGAGTTTCTAGAATGCTACCTTAGTGTTTCCTGGAGGTTTACCTGGGCTTTGACGGCCTCGATCTCGCTCTGCAGGCGGCTGATCAGACGGTTGATCTCGCCCACTTCTCCCTTCGAGACACGCAGCTCGTCTCCGTACTGATTCGCCTGCACCGACATCTGATCGAACTGAAGACAGAGGAACATCAGCTGCATCACTTTAAACAGAGTTGAGCATTATTAAAGACTTCCAGTGACAACAAAGTTTGGCGAACAACATATCATTTGTCCTTAAAGGTCTCCTATCATGCAGAATGCACTTTTGTATGTCTTGTATACATAAACATGTGTCCCCGGTGTGTAAGGGAACTCACAAAGTGTCAGGAAACAAAACCCTCTCCTGTCCTCTCCCAGAATCAGCAGTTCTCTAACATGGCTGAAATATAAAATACTCCTTTATTGTTATCACAGGAACAATGAGATGACAAGAACTACTCCTTTTTTTTTAAGGTGCCATAAAAAATAACTAAAAACAAACAAGAGACGTACAACATTCAGGAGAAGACAACATACAAACAACAAGCATTCATTCTTCAATATGCAGAGAAAGTTAAAGTGCAGGAATATATCTGTTTAAGTACAACTATGTTTGAATGTGTATATTTAGTGCAGAGGGATATGAGGGATTCTAAAATGGGCAATCTGTTTGGTATTTTGAGCAAAACACTTCATTGAGATGTTTTTTATATATATTTATATATTTGAGACCTATAATACATGCCTAAAAATAGCATAGCAGGAGACCTTTGAGATAGAAAGAAAACATAATACAACAAATGCATTTGTAGATTTTGTGATGGAGATTCAAAGAGCAGAGAGATGGAGACCGAGGAAGTAGAAGACCGATCTGATGTCTGACAAACTGAAGGTTTATCGAAAGGCTTTGCAAAGGAAAACAGACAATGCAGATCCAAGCAGCTCACAGAGAAAGTGACCACGATGATAACATGGTCTGATCGTCATATGGACAAAGACACGTTGCAGATCTAAAGAAAACGCCACGTCGATGAATATAGATGCTTGTTCTTCAGTAAGATGTTGGTCTTGTATTCTTCTCACAGTATAGTATTGCAACTTTTACTTTAGGAGAGGATCAGAGTAATGTCATCCACCTCTGATCACGTTACAAGTCTTTTTAGTTGAGCTAGTTTTTGGTTTCACTCTCAGATAACAGTTTGTCAACCCCATTGTTTGGGAGATGTGAGTTCAGAGGGTCAAAAGTATAATATCTCTGTTGAGTCTCAAACCACCAGACTCAGGGACAGTTTCATCCCACAGGCCATACGACTATTAAACACCTTTTTAAAAGAACATCCATCTGTTTGCATCTTGCAGAATATTTCTCTAACATATCATATTCCATTTACTTCTATGTTGACTCTTCTTGCACTATTTCTATTTTATTTGTACTTGCACTCTTTTATCTGTCTTATTTACTCTATGTCCTCTATATTCATGTTGCTCTGTTGGAGGAGCCGGTGACTTCAGTTTGTCATTGATATCTACACTGTAGCTAATGTACAAAAACTATAAAGCATGTTGGAGCTATATTTGGCCCAACTTGACCCACTCTGCCATGCTGCACTGCTGCACTGCGATATCAAAGGCACCCGATAGGACTCATCATTGCAAACTGGACAGCCTAACTGGATGGTCCTCACTTACTATGCGTAGGATGCAGCATTGGTTTTTATTAATGTATAAAGCCATTTTAGGTAAGCTTCCACTGTACATATGAGCCAGATCTGCCCCAGTTTGTGACTCTTACAACCTCAGATCCAGTGCCTGGATACGGGTCCAGGTACCTGGATACGGTTCCAGGTGCCTGGATACGGGTCCAGGTACCTGGATACGGTTCCAGGTTCCTGGATACGGGTCCAGGTACCTGGATACGGGTCCAGGTTCCTGGATACGGGTCCAGGTTCCTGGATACGGTCCAGGTTCCTGCCGTGCGGACTGAGGCTGGGAAAAGGAGTCTTTTTCATTATGGTCCTTGGTCTTGGAATGACCTTCAAGCACGCCTCAAACTGACGGCACTTGTCTCAATAGCCTGTTTTAAATTGAAGTTAACACCAGCTGCTCTTGCTGTAATAAGTAGTACCTTTCTTACTGTGATAATTTCCACAATGTAGTGACTGCTTATCGTATTTTTTTGTTTACTTAGTTGTGTCCTCTGTATTTTATATGTCTGTGTTATGTGTAAGAATGTGTAACGTTGCTGCCTTCTTGGCCAGGTCAGCAGTGTCAATGAGATTTTATCTCAATGCTTTTTGTCTGGTTTAATAAAGGTTAAATGAAATAAATATAAATAAAATACTGATTTATATTATTTAACTGTTAACATTTATTTTCTATGTGTTTTGCTTATTGTAAGTATACCTTTTATTTAGTGTAATTGAAGTTAATTGAAGTAGTCACATGCACCTCTGACTGTTAGACAAAAGGACTAGACTCCTGGTTTCCTACCCCCCCCCCCTACCCCCCCCCCCCCCCCCCCCCCCCATCAAAGGCTGCCTTTCGAACAGCAGATCATTACAGACATTTAGTACTAGACCTACACACTCAGTACTGGTCTTACATGGACTTGAAAGTATGCAATGGACTTGAGTATACAAATATGCTACGGATGGATGTTATATGTTTTGTTAAAATGACTTGATATATTATTATTGGTAATTGCCATGTAATAAGCAATTAGGGGCTGGTATGTCAGAGCCATTTTCATTTAGTTATTATTGTCTGAATGTTAGGCTTAATAATAATATAAAGTAGATTAAACTCTTAATTATCAGGTCTTTTTGTGAGTCACACTATGGTTTAACATTTATTAATTTAAGGCTCACTTATTTGTTATGAAATGTGTGTCAGTATCACGTGCATGGCTATATGCCTATATATGGTAGGTTGATAGGACACAGCTGATGGTGATGAGAAGGGGAAGCAGAGAAGTCTTTTGGCCGTGTTCTTTTGGAGACTGTTAACTTTAATTTAGTATGAAGCGAAGAAATGTGTCCTGCTGTTTATATTCCGTCTGGACTAACGAATAAAGCTCATCTGATTCAACCACGTTCTCCGCTAATTTGTTTGGAAACAGAGAGAGGCGCGTCAAAACCCACAACCCCCGATAGAGGTGGCTATGAAATTGTAGACAAGGATTGAAACGCCACCACACAGCACGAGGACTAAAACCACCAGACTCAGTTTCATCCCACAGGGAGACTGTTAAACACCTGCACTTTTGAAAGAACATCCATTACATTCATCTGTTTGCAACTTATATCAATATTCCAATTACTGTATATAGACTATTCTGCACCGTTTCTATTATATTCTATTTTATTTACTTGTACTATTGTATCTGTTGTATTGTGTTGAACTGATGGAGCAGCCTGTGACCTCAGATTTTCATTGTCATAACCATGTACACATGACGATAAAAGCCTTGAAACTTGTCTCTTTTATTTGGAAGGCAGTTTCGGGCACTGGGGGAGTCTGTATATAGAAACTTGAAACAGTGAAGCCAGATATCTTTTCTTGCGCATGTTTCAGCAGTTCTTACTTTGCTCTTGTACCAGGCCTCGGCCTCCTCTCGGCTGCGGGCAGCGATCTCCTCGTACTGAGTTTTGACCTCCGATACGATCTGCTCCATGTTCAGGCTGCGGCTGTTGTCCATCTGCACCACCACTGAGGTGTCTTTGATGCTGGCCTGCAGCTCACGCAGCTCCTGGAGCACGAAACACAACACAAGTGGTAAAAGACAGAATACGCCACAAAAGGGATATACACTGCAAAACTCAGAAGCACTTATTTGGAGCTTTAGGTTTGCAGACTCCGTTTGAGACATTTTACAATTTGTTTTCTTGCAACTCAGTAATTTAGCTTGGATATGAACAAACCCTTTTCAAAAAAGAGACAAAATATACCATCCTACATATCCAACAAGTCATGACCCAAGTGTCTTTTTTTCTATTTGAGATGTTTACATTTTGAATTGTTTATTTCTAGTCTTTTCATTTCTCTAATATGCCTTGTCTTTTCCCAAATTGGGATCAATTATCTTATCTTATGTATCCCCTTTTTGGGATATGTAGGATGTTTACTTTTCAATAAATTAGATCCTTGAATTGAGGTTGAAGATACTGTTGTTTGGCCCTCCATTGAACGATACAAAGATATGTTAAATACAGCGTCACAGGTTTAGTACCTCCTCATACACGTTGCGCAGGAAGTTGATTTCATCAGTCAGAGATCCGACTTTATCCTCCAGATCGGCCTTCACCAGGTAGGCTGAGTCTACATCCTGAAAACACAGAAACAAACCACATATTTAACAACAGTCTGTAGCCATGACAGCTGATGGCATGCTAGGCTAATTAGCATCAAGTAAAGCTAAGGCTAATGGGAATGTCATTTTGGATAGACACCTGGTTTGTTTTTTTGTCTTTTATTCAGGTCAGGGTTGCAGGAGCAGGAGTCCTGTTTATTTCAGAGAATAGGAAGAAAAATGCAATATATTTCTTGAACAGAGCAGAGCGAAGTTCCCAAAGCTTTGATGGCTTTTAATTCAAGTGGGGAGGAAGGGATGGGAGATAAGCAGGACAGAAAGGAAAGTACAATGGAGAGGTTCCTCTTACACCACACCTGAGTTTCATGAATGACTGAATGTGTGCTGACCTTCTTTAGGATCACAAAGTCGTTCTCCAGGTTGTTCCTCTTGTTAATCTCGTCCTCATATCTGGGACGGAGACACAAGTCAAATGTTATATAATGAGAAAAACACAACTCACAGTGGCTTTATTAACTACCGCAGTGGTTTGATGTAACAATAATAATAATAATAATGCATTGTATTTGTAGAGCGCTTTTCTAGCAACTCAAAGACACTTTACACAGTAAATAAATCACAACAACATAATTAAAACAACACACTTAAAGGTCACCTATTATGCAAAATCCACTTCTTCATGTCTCCTCTACATCAACATGTGTCCCCTCTTCTTCATGTCTCTTCTACATCAACATGTGTCCCCTCTTCTTCATGTCTCTTCTACATCAACATGTGTCCCCTCTTCTTCATGTCTCTACATCAACATGTGTCCCCTCTACTTCATGTCTCTTCTACATCAACATGTGTCCCCTCTTCTTCATGTCTCTTCTACATCAACATGTGTCCCCTCTTCTTCATGTCTCTTCTACATCAACATGTGTCCTCTCTTCTTCATGTCTCTTCTACATCAACATGTGTCCTCTCTTCTTCATGTCTCTTCTACATCAACATGTGTCCCCTCTTCTTCATGTCTCTTCTACATCAACATGTGTCCCCTCTTCTTCATGTCTCTTCTACATCAACATGTGTCCCCTCTTCTTCATGTCTCTTCTACATCAACATGTGTCCCCTCTGTGTAAAGAGACTCTCAACGTTTCAGGAACAAAGATTCTCTCTCTTGATTTTTTGTCTTGTGTAACCATTAGCCAATCAGCAACCAATAACCCCCCCCCCCCCTCCTTATCACCTGAATCTCCTCCTGCAGTGCTTCTCAAAGTGTGGTCCGCGGACCACTGGTGGTCCGTGAGCGCCCCTAGTGGTCCGTGACCACTTGGTAACATTTCACATTTGAAATAAATACATTTATTTCAGTTTTCCGCACTCTCGCGGGAATATCTACGCAGTGGAGTGAGGTTAAGTTTCACTTTCGATTGCATGATATAGCCCAGCACAACACCTTCATCACACATGTTGCCACTTGTTTGTACCATTTTCAAGCGATTTGTAATCTGTTCTAGAAAAACGATGTTTTTGTTATATTTGTGGAGTCAGGTGGTCCGCGAGTGTTTTTGTATTGGTTAAGTGGTCCTTGGTATGAAAAAGTTTGAGAAACACTGTCCTAGAGCACCATTGAGTTATTTCTAACCAAATCTCTCTCAGAGGGGCTTGGGGAGGGGCTCCTTATTTTCATCTAAAGTAACAGACACGGGCCGTGGCCGTTTCTCAATCTCGAGGAAACTGGCTTCCAAGCCAATATTTCAAGGATACTACGTCATCGAGTACCGCCGAAGGACTGTTCCAATCTCCAGCATACTTGGAATTCCACCGAGGCCGCGTCCTTGGTTTGGGGGAAATTTCGAGACTGCACATGGGTAGACTTCGCATCCTTAAAATCCTTACAATGCTTTGCGCACGGACCAATTTCAAAAACCCTTGCGGAGAATGGCTGAACCGACGCAGCACACATTTAAATGTATAGTGGCGTAGAACATGTGTTGGTAAATATGTGACTTTGTTACATTTGTTTGTTATCACCAAAAATGTGTTCCGTGAAAGTAAAGCAAGTTCATAATTAGATAGACATCGTGAGGTATTTATTTTCGGTACAGTTTATGTTGAAACCGTTAGAGAGAGTGGCACACTTGTTAGCCTGTTCCATTCTTCTTCGTTTCTGAAGCCGTGGCTTGGAAGCATATTTGCTTCGTTTCTGAAGGAAGTGACTTGGAAGTACGCGACTACCAAGCCAGCATCCTCGCGATTGACAAACGGCCCGTTTCTCAATCGCGAGTACGCTTGCTTGGTAGCACTTGTCTTCCGAGTCACTTCCTTCAGAAGCTAAGCAAGAATCCTTCCTGGCATTCGGAAAACGAAGAGTGGAACAGGCTAGCAAGTGTGCAGGTGTGCGTCATATGAGAGGCCCCGCCTTACATTTTCCGCCACAGATTTGGGGAAATTGGTCCGTGCACAAAGCATTGTGGGGATTTGAAGGACGCGAAGTCTACCCATGTGCAGCCTCGAAATTATCCCCAAACCAAGGACGCGGCCTCGGTGGAATTCCAAGTATGCTGGTGATTGGAACAGTCCTTCAGGCCAGAGAATCAGCACTTTTGAAACAGGGCTGAAACAGAGGGGATTATGGGTAATTCTGCAATGATCTGTTTGGTGTTTCAGCCAATCAGAGACAGGTTCTGTATATATCTGAGACCTGTGATATATTGATGACAACCGGTATATTTCAGACACTTTTTACACAGCTATGGACAATCTTTGTACATATCCCAAAGATATTGAAGTGACTGTTATTTTTGTAGATATTGATTGTTGTGCTTTTATTTAGGTCTTAATGTGTGCATATGTTTAAATGTGTCTGTTGATTGTGTATATATACATATTTTTATATATCTTTTTTTTTGTCTTCGGGATTGTGGGAAACGGTATTTAGATCTCTCTCTGTACACACAAACTGAAAGATTGACGATAAAGTTGACTTTTACTTTGACTTTTAAAATATATAAAACCCATGTACTTGTGCTTGTAGTCCTCCACCAGGCCCTGCATGTTCCTCAGCTCTCCGTCCAGTTTGGTCTTGTCGTTGTTGACCAGGTCCATCTGGCGCCTCAGACCCGCCATATAGGCCTCGAACAGGGGCTCCACATTGGAGCGGACCGCCCCCTGACCCTGCAGGAGGTCCAGCTTCGTCTCCAGCATCTTGTTCTGCTGCTCTAGGAAACGCACCTAACGTTGGAGGGGTAAGAATAACAGAGGAAGAGTCTTTAAAGTATATCCAGACGATGCAGAATGTTGGCGGCTAGTCAAATAAATACCTTTGAATAGAGGTGGGAAGTAGTGGAGCACAAATACTTCGTTAAGTAAATTGTTCTGGTATCAGTACTTTACTCCACGACTTTTTACTTTGACTTGTTACATGTTGAACCCAAATACCTGTACTTTCTACTTCTCACATGTTGAACACAAATACCTGTACTTTCTACTTCTTACATGTTGAACACAAATACCTGTACTTTCTACTTCTTACATGTTGAACTTCTTACATGTTGACAAATACCTGTACTTTCTACTTCTTACATGTTGAACACAAATACCTGTACTTTCTACTTCTTACATGTTGAACACAAATACCTGTACTTTCTACTTCTTACATGTTGAACACAAATACCTGTACTTTCTACTTCTCACATGTTGAACACAAATACCTGTACTTTCTACTTCTTACATGTTGAACTCAAATACCTGTACTTTCTACTTCTCACATGTTGAACCCAAATACCTGTACTTTCTACTTCTTACATGTTGAACTCAAATACCTGTACTTTCTACTTCTTACATGTTGAACTCAAATACCTGTACTTTCTACTTCTTACATGTTGAACACAAATACCTGTACTTTCTACTTCTCACATGTTGAACACAAATACCTGTACTTTCTACTTCTTACATGTTGAACTCAAATACCTGTACTTTCTACTTCTTACATGTTGAACTCAAATACCTGTACTTTCTACTTCTTACATGTTGAACACAAATACCTGTACTTTCTACTTCTTACATGTTGAACACAAATACCTGTACTTTCTACTTCTCACATGTTGAACTCAAATACCTGTACTTTCTACTTCTTACATGTTGAACTCAAATACCTGTACTTTCTACTTCTTACATGTTGAACTCAAATACCTGTACTTTCTACTTCTTACATGTTGAACACAAATACCTGAACTTTCTACTTCTTACATGTTGAACTCAAATACCTGTACTTTCTACTTCTTACATGTTGAACTCAAATACCTGTACTTTCTACTTCTTACATGTTGAACCCAAATACCTGTACTTTCTACTTCTCACATGTTGAACTCAAATACCTGTACTTTCTACTTCTTACATGTTGAACTCAAATACCTGTACTTTCTACTTCTTACATGTTGAACTCAAATACCTGTACTTTCTACTTCTTACATGTTGAACTCAAATACCTGTACTTTCTACTTCTTACATGTTGAACTCAAATACCTGTACTTTCTACTTCTTACATGTTGAACTCAAATACCTGTACTTTCTACTTCTTACATGTTGAACTCAAATACCTGTACTTTCTACTTCTTACATGTTGAACTCAAATACCTGTACTTTCTACTTCTCTCATTTCCCAAACAGCTGGTTCCTTTAGTCTGAATGTGTGTTTGGTGGCGTGATCATTATTCTTTAGAGTCATTGCGTGCCTATTGATTTGAACACGATCCGTGTATCCATCATTTCCTGGTCTTCTCTAAAGAAGAAGGACCAATGGAAACATTGTCATGTTGCCTTTGTTCAGCATGGAAAAATTCATTAGCGTTGTCGTCTCTTCTGAAAATATTTTGTGTTTACCGAAATGTTTAGGTAAACGTTGTCCCCTTTTCAAAATGGGTTTGTGTTTTCTGGAATACTTTGTGAAACATTGTTCAGTTTTCTGAAATATCTCTGTATTTTCTGAAAAGTTTTTTGTGAAATGTTATGTTTTGACCTTCAGGGCCACCGTAGTAAATACTATTTTCCCTGTGAGCTAGGACCATCACGAACATCATCATCTCATCTTGACCTCCAGACATCCGGAGCCTCCTCACATAAAGCCTCTCAGAGCAGAGGATGGACAAACCAAACATTCCTTCATGACAAATCACTTCCTTCTCAGCAGATAATAACACATTACATAAAAATGTTTTTGTAGCTGCAGAATGAGGTCTGTCTTCAGAGGTAAAACTGTCATCGTTCCAGCATCTCAACACCGGCCTGTATCTGCTCAGCTCGTGTTTCCCGCCTGCAGCCGGGTATATCCAACACCTTTTATCCCTCCAGCCTCCAAAACAAAGCCTGTGTTGTGTTCGGAGGAGAATGATCTATCCCTCGGAGAAACAACCGCTATCATCCAGTTACAACAACTCAAAGGACGGAAATGGGACAGATAGCTTAAAGGGGACCTATCATGCAAAATGCACTTTTTGATGTCTTGTATACATAACTCTGTGTCCCCGGTGAGTCAGGGAACTCACGCAGCGTCAGAAAATAAAACCCTCTCTCTTTTCCTCCGTACCCAAATCTCTAAAAACGGGGGAACAACGGAGCTGATCCAGATTTGAGTCCGATATGACGTAATATCTGAAATGTGGACCCACGGCCCAATCAGAAATGCTGCTATCAGAAACAATGCCTGACTGTTTTGGACGTAATATGGTCGGTGTTTACATTAGCATCGCTAACACTCAGAGCTAACCTGTACTGGAGAGCATGTGTGTGAAGAAGCAGGAAGTAAAAAGGAACTCACCTTGTGGTATAACCGGCAAGAGAGAAAGCCTTTGAGCTCCAGACTGTTTCAGAGAGAATCCTTGATAATCCATGATATGGCGTTTCATCACGGCAGTATTTAGTTTAGACAGTAGCTGCCGGGTCCCGCATGAGCTCAGACCCCTACTTTTTTTTAAATCAATCTCTTCTTCTTTTTTTAAAGCTTTATACCCAAAATCAGCGCTTTTGAAACAGGAAGTGAAATAGAGGGATATGAGGCATGGCTAGAATGGGTGATCTGTTTGGTATTTTGAACAAAACACTTCATAGACATGTTTTTTATATATTTTTATATATCTGAGACCTCTGCTATTGCCTACAAATAGCAGGATACAGTAGGTGCCCTTTAAATATCATTAATGCCACTGATTCAAGGTCTAAATCCCAGGTGCATTCCCTCAAGCTCGATTTAAGGTTTGTGGTTCTAGCCCTTTTACCAGGCAAACTATATGCATTACATTAATGCACACAATGTACACACTATCTGTTTTCTTTTTTTATTACTGCCGAATTTTATTTCATAATTTATTCCATTCTATTTCTATGTAAATACTGCTATATTTTACTATATTTGTATTATTTTTTAAATATTTTTTAATGTTATTATAGTGTTCTTAAAATAGTTCTCTATCTGTGTTTTTAATTTTTGTTTTACTTTTATGTATGCACCATGACATCAAGTCAAATTCCTCGTACGTGTCATCCTACCTGGTAATAACCCTGATTCTGATTCTTTCTGCAAATACCAGTATCAGCAAATGTTTTTTTATGCCCAGTTTCTATGCTTCACATATTGGGAAAAACTTTGTAATGCCCTTTGAATGTCCTCGCTGTTGAAATGTTCTATATCAATTAACTCGCTGTGTCTTCGGATGCCTTACTAACACATTTCCATGTATGTTGGTTCATGCAGAATTAAACTGGGTTGTCTTCCAGCATCCTGCTTTCTGTATCAGACAGATTACTTTCTACATGGGGGGGGGTCTCTTTAATGTTTTAATGCTGTGTGCAGCAGCCATATTGGATTACACAGTTAAGTACAGGGTATGTTTATTAGTCCGTTGCCTTTTAGCAGGTCTGAGGGGAAGAAGAAGAGGTCCTATTGCCTCAAAGTCCAAAATTGGAAGTACTCAAGTACCATTTATTGCTATTATGCAACCAGGACCCAAAAGAGTCTCACTTCTCCTGCAGCTAAAAGCTTCTGCAACCACGAAAGCAAACAAAGACTCTTTTGTGTGTCACCTGTCAGCTGGAAATACAACATGAGACTCGTATAGAGAAGAGGATGGAGTTACAAAATGTCTTTCCATCACAATATTCTCACTTGAAACTCTACAATTAGAAACGTCAGTAGCTTGCACCCCACAATTATCAATTATTTTACTTTTCATAATGCAATGTCTTACAAACACGTTGGCAATCTGAAATGAATGAGAACATTTAAAACTTAAATTTGGAGACGATTCTGCACTTTAAATTAAGAATATCTAGCTGCTCAACAAAACAAAAAAAATATATTTTAAAGGACAATTAGCAGGACATTTCATTAACCATTAATACAGATTCTATTATATTACATGTCACTTCTGTGTAAACAATTTTACACAGAATGTATCACTTAAATTAAAAGTGCCCTCTCCTGCTGATGTTCAGGTGTATATCAGTATGTAGTGTCTCTACTTTAAAGAGTCCTCTCCTGCTGATGTCCAGGTGTATATCAGTATGTAGTGTCTCTACTTTAAAGAGTCCTCTCCTGCTGATGTTCAGGTGTATATCAGTATGTAGTGTCTCCACTTTAAAGAGTCCTCTCCTGCTGATGTTCAGGTGTATATCAGTATGTAGTGTCTCTACTTTAAAGAGTCCTCTCCTGCTGATGTTCAGGTTTATATCAGTATGTAGTGTCTCTTCTTTAAAGAGTCCTCTCCTGCTGATGTTCAGGTGTATATCAGTATGTAGTGTCTCTACTTTAAAGAGTCCTCTCCTGCTGATGTTCAGGTGTATATCAGTATGTAGTGTCTCTACTTTAAAGAGTCCTCTCCTGCTGATGTTCAGGTTGTATATCAGTATGTAGTGTCTCTACTTTAAAGAGTCCTCTCCTGCTGATATTCAGGTGTATATCAGTATGTAGTGTCTCTACTTTAAAGAGTCCTCTCCTGCTGATGTTCAGGTGTATATCAGTAGTGTCTCTACTTTAAAGAGTTCTCTCCTGCTGATGTTCAGGTGTATATCAGTGGTGTCTCTACTTTAAAGAGTCCTCTCCTGCTGATGTTCACGTGTATATCAGTATGTAGTGTCTCTACTTTAAAGAGTCCTCTCCTGCTGATGTTCAGGTGTATATCAGTATGTAGTGTCTCTACTTTAAAGAGTCCTCTCCTGCTCATGTTCAGGTGTATATCAGTGTGTAGTGTCTCTACTTTAAAGAGTCCTCTCCTGCTGATGTTCAGGTGTATATCAGTATGTAGTGTCTCTACTTTAAAGAGTCCTCTCCTGCTGGTGTTCAGGTGTATATCAGTATGTAGTGTCTCTACTTTAAAGAGTCCTCTCCTGCTGATGTTCAGGTGTATATCAGTATGTAGTGTCTCTACTTTAAAGAGTCCTCTCCTGCTGATGTTCAGGTGTATATCAGTAGTGTCTCTACTTTAAAGAGTCCTCTCCTGCTGATGTTCAGGTGTATATCAGTAGTGTCTCTACTTTAAAGAGTTCTCTCCTGCTGATGTTCAGGTGTATATCAGTGGTGTCTCTACTTTAAAGAGTTCTCTCCTGCTGATGTTCAGGTGTATATCAGTATGTAGTGTCTCTACTTTAAAGAGTCCTCTCTTGCTGATGTTCAGGTTTATATCAGTATGTAGTGTCTCTTCTTTAAAGAGTCCTCTCCTGCTGATGTTCAGGTGTATATCAGTATGTAGTGTCTCTACTTTAAAGAGTCCTCTCCTGCTGATGTTCAGGTGTATATCAGTATGTAGTGTCTCTACTTTAAAGAGTCCTCTCCTGCTGATGTTCAGGTGTATATCAGTATGTAGTGTCTCTACTTTAAAGAGTCCTCTCCTGCTGATGTTCAGGTGTATATCAGTATGTAGTGTCTCTACTTTAAAGAGTCCTCTCCTGCTGATATTCAGGTGTATATCAGTATGTAGTGTCTCTACTTTAAAGAGTCCTCTCCTGCTGATGTTCAGGTGTATATCAGTAGTGTCTCTACTTTAAAGAGTTCTCTCCTGCTGATGTTCAGGTGTATATCAGTGGTGTCTCTACTTTAAAGAGTCCTCTCCTGCTCATGTTCAGGTGTATATCAGTGTGTAGTGTCTCTACTTTAAAGAGTCCTCTCCTGCTGATGTTCAGGTGTATATCAGTATGTAGTGTCTCTACTTTAAAGAGTCCTCTCCTGCTGATGTTCAGGTGTATATCAGTATGTAGTGTCTCTACTTTAAAGAGTCCTCTCCTGCTGATGTTCAGGTGTATATCAGTATGTAGTGTCTCTACTTTAAAGAGTCCTCTCCTGCTGATGTTCAGGTGTATATCAGTAGTGTCTCTACTTTAAAGAGTCCTCTCCTGCTGATGTTCAGGTGTATATCAGTAGTGTCTCTACTTTAAAGAGTTCTCTCCTGCTGATGTTCAGGTGTATATCAGTGGTGTCTCTACTTTAAAGAGTTCTCTCCTGCTGATGTTCAGGTGTATATCAGTATGTAGTGTCTCTACTTTAAAGAGTCCTCTCCTGCTGATGTTCAGGTGTATATCAGTGTGTAGTGTCTCTACTTTAAAGAGTCCTCTCCTGCTGATGTTCAGGTGTATATCAGTATGTAGTGTCTCTACTTTAAAGAGTCCTCTCCTGCTGATGTTCAGGTGTATATCAGTATATAGTGTCTCTACTTTAAAGAGTCCTCTCCTGCTGATGTTCAGGTGTATATCAGTATGTAGTGTCCTCTACTTTAAAGAGTCCTCTCCTGCTGATGTTCAGGTGTATATCAGTATGTAGTGTCTCTACTTTAAAGAGTCCTCTCCTGCTGATGTTCAGGTGTATATCAGTATGTAGTGTCTCTACTTTAAAGAGTCATCTCCTGCTGATGTTCAGGTGTATATCAGTATGTAGTGTCTCTACTTTAAAGAGTCCTCTCCTGCTGATGTTCAGGTATATATCAGTAGTGTCTCTACTTTAAAGAGTCCTTTCCTGCTGATGTTCAGGTGTGTATCAGTATGTAGTGTCTCTACTTTAAAGAGTCCTCTCCTGCTGATGTTCAGGTGTATATCAGTATGTAGTGTCTCTACTTTAAAGAGTCCTCTCCTGCTGATGTTCAGGTGTATATCAGTATGTACTGCCTCTACTTTAAAGAGTCCTCTCCTGCTGATGTTCAGGATCATATCAGTATGTAGTGCCTCTACTTTAAAGAGTCCTCTCCTGCTGATGTTCCGGTGTATATCAGTATGTAGTGTCTCTACTTTAAAGAGTCCTCTCCTGCTGATGTTCAGGTTCATATCAGTATGTAGTGTCTCTACTTTAAAGAGTCCTCTCCTGCTGATGTTCAGGTGTATATCAGTATGTAGTGCCTCTACTTTAAAGAGTCCTCTCCTGCTGATGTTCCGGTGTATATCAGTATGTAGTGTCTCTACTTTAAAGAGTCCTCTCCTGCTGATGTTCAGGTGTATATCAGTATGTAGTGCCTCTACTTTAAAGAGTCCTCTCCTGCTGATGTTCAGGTGTATATCAGTATGTAGTGTCTCTACTTTAAAGAGTCCTCTCCTGCTGATGTTCAGGTGTATATCAGTATGTAGTGTCTCTACTTTAAAGAGTCCTCTCCTGCTGATGTTCAGGTGTATATCAGTATGTAGTGTCTCTACTTTAAAGAGTCCTCTCCTGCTGATGTTCAGGTGTATATCAGTATGTAGTGTCTCTACTTTAAAGAGTCCTCTCCTGCTGATGTTCAGGTGTATATCAGTATGTAGAGTCTCTACTTTAAAGAGTCCTCTCCTGCTGATGTTCAGGTGTATATCAGTATGTAGTGTCTCTACTTTAAAGAGTCCTCTCCTGCTGATGTTCAGGTGTATATCAGTATGTAGTGTCTCTACATGTCTCCATGCTTTAAAGTTCAAAAAGCTCTTTACTTTTCTCATACTGCCTCTTTTCACCCTCTGTCTGAAACCAGAGCCCAGTCTGCTCTGATTGGTTAGCTGGCCGGCTCTGTTGTGATTGGTCAACCGCTTAGAGATGTCCCGCCTCTTAGCCTATCACATACAATGTGTTGGACCGTTAGCCAATAGGAGTGTGAGTGTTATGTAGTGATGTCACTGTGTTCAGGAAGTAAACAAAGAAGTCCAATGGAGGGAACACAGAGATTTTAGCCGTTGCAGAACATTTCCATGCACAAAACCCTATAGATCACCACAGGGAAGGGAAACCAACAAAAAGCAGAATAGGGACTTTTTGTGATCCATCAAAAAAAGTACATTCGTAGATGTGTCTCTGTGTCTCTGTGCACCTGAAGTGAATCTCTCCTGAAGCAACAATGGCTCCTTTGTGAGGCGTGTTATCGACTCCGTGAGAAACAGAGATGTTCCCTGAGTACGGTTTCAATGAACGGCTTTATCTCAGAGCGGCTTTCTCCTCCTGTGGGAACAACTCAGCTTCTTCTCAGACTGACTTCCCCAATTTAACACCCACTATTTCACTTTTGTATTAAAGGTATCCCCCATGAAAGCTCCTCTATGTTTCAGCAGGTCGTCCTCAAGGTCAGCGTGTGTTGTTGAAGTGGCTCTAACCAATTTCTAAATAACAATGAAATGTGAAAGGACAACATGTAAACAATGTGACAGTGTCAACATTTGGGGGCACATTTTAAAGGAGACATCAAATGCAAATAAAGTCTGATAAAGATGAGAAAAGTTGTTGCTCATGCAATTAACTTTTGTTTGTAGGATAAAGGGTGTGTTGTTTCATATTTTCAAACTGTTAATATTGTTATTGCCTTTTAAAAGAGCAAGTTCAGTGGATTCAATTTCCATTTTGAAGCAGAAAGAGATTCATTATTTAGATTATAAAAAAGTCAGAAAATAGTGGGAACAAATTGGAATTATTATTCCATGACCTTATTGATATACTCTGGCATCAACCATATATTCTCTTTGAGATGTATGTTTATGCATATAGAAGCAGCATATCCTCACATTTGAAAGGCTAAAATAGCAATGTTATTTTTGTAGGAATACTACAGTGCAGAGAAACATAGCAACAAGTCCTCAATCAAATATTTACTGAAGTAAAACTGTTGGTATTCAAGTATTAAGTAGCAAAACATGGAAACACTTGAGTAAAAGTAGAAGTACTCATATTTTACACATGTTTTTTTATCTCGGTATTTAGATGTTGGCTCATTTTTATTGTTTTTATTGTTATGTGTAACTGTCCAAGGACTGCAGATGGAAATGAGTTTTTAGCTATTATCTGGCGTCTCAACTCTTTTTGATTAATGTATTTATTTCAATGTAAATACTGATATATTTTACTATATTTTTATTATTTTTTAATATTATAATTCTTTCTTAAAAAAGTTCTCTATCTGTGTTTTTAATTTTAATTTTACTTTTATGTATGCACCACGACACCAAATCAGTCAAATTCCTCGTGGTGATAAACCTGATTCTGATTCTGATGCATTCAATAAAGACATATAACAATAATACAAAAATGCCTTTCCCGCTGTAAAGGCTGAACGGAGCTCCATCTCTTTACCTTGTCTATGAAACATGGAAATATTTGAAAAAAGTAGTGACAGTAGTATTTTATACAACTGTATTTTGATCTGTTTTAATTGTGTGTGGCACTAGGTGATTGTGTGTAACTAAGGACTACAGATGGAAATGAGCTTTTAGCTTTGATCTGGCATCTTAACTCTTTCTGATTGATGTGTTTTAATGGATTTAATAAAGACATACAATAATAATAAAAACACGTATTAATTTCTCCCCTCTGTAAATGATGAATGGTCTCTTCTGTATGAGGTTTATTTCTATGCATGATCCTTGTTCAATAAAGACATATAACAATAATACAAAAGTGCCTTTCCCCCTCCTGTAAAAGCTGAATGGAGCTCCGTCTCTGTACCTTGTCTATGAAGGTGGCGAAGCGGTTGTTGAGGCTCTTGATCTGCTCCTTCTCGTGGGCGCGGCTCATGGAGAGGCTGGGGTCTATCTCCAGGTTCAGAGGGGCCAGCAGGCTCCTGTTGACGGACAGAGAGGCCAGCGGGGCCCCGAGGCCGTGGTGGAGCCCGTTAGTGCCTGCGTACAAAGAGCTGCTGCTCAAAGAGAGACCGCTGAAACCTCCAGGACCAGAACCATAGCCACTGAGCCTCCTGGAGCCAACTCCACTGCTGCTGCGGACTGAACTGCTAGAGCTGATCCGCTTCGAACGACTCAGACTCATCGTGAAGGGAGAGGAGCTGAGACTGAGAGAAAGATGGAGACAGGAGGGTGGATTGAAAGGAAGCAGAGAGGCAGGTTGTGCAAAGACTAAGAAAATAGAAGAAGTAGAGGTTTGGGATCAAATGCAGAAGAAGAAGACTTGCAGAAAATGGTAGTCAAAAAGAAGTGGACTAGTCAGTGTAAGATGTCCAGCCACAGTGAGCTGTCTCAGGTGTCTCGTGCCTTTTTAATCCTCTCCCGAAGGAGGAGGAGACGGGGTGTCAAATATCTGACTTTCAGGGGAAATGTCAAGAAGCTACCTGTTCATTCTGCTGGAGGACGAAGCCATTCGTGCAAAAACAATCCATGACTGAACCTGAAAAATAACTTCATTGCAGTCTTTTTTGGAGAAAAGCTGATCTACTGTTTGTTTGGCTCCTTATTTCAGCCGTACTGCCTCTGGCCAGTTAACCACGAGAGGTGATGTGTCTGTGTGATTGGTTTAAAACCAGCCCAATCAGGTCATTAATATGAACATGATATGATACAACAATACGTAGTCTGAAATGTTGCATCACAGCAACTCTATCTGCAGCATCAACAATGACAACAAACAAGGAAACAGACATTTAACCAGAGGTGGGAGAAGTACTCAGATTTGGTACTTGAGTAAAAGTAGAAGTACTCAGGTCTTGTTCTTGAGTAAAAGTACTCAGATCTTGTAGTTGAGTTAAAGTAGAAGTACTCAGATCTTGTACTTGAGTAAAAGTAGAAGTACTCAGATATTGTACTTGAGTAAAAGTAGAAGTACTCAGATCTTGTACTTGAGTAAAAGTAGAAGTACTCAGATCTTGTACTTGAGTTAAAGTAGAAGTACTCAGATCTTGTACTTGAGTAAAAGTAGGAGTACTCAGATCTTGTACTTGAGTAAAAGTAGAAGTACTCAGATCTTGTACTTGAGTAAAAGTAGAAGTACTCAGATCTTGTACTTGAGTAAAAGTAGAAGTACTCAGATCTTGTTCTTGAGTAAAAGTAGAAGTACTCAGATCTTGTACTTGAGTAAAAGCAGAAGTACTCAGATCTTGTGCTTGAGTAAAAGTAGAAGTACTCAGATCTTGTACTTGAGTAAAAGTAGAAGTACTCAGATCTTGTTCTTGAGTAAAAGTAGAAGTACTCAGATCTTGTACTTGAGTAAAAGTAGAAGTACTCAGATCTTGTACTTGAGTAAAAGTAGAAGTACTCAGATCTTTTACTTGAGTAAAAGTAGAAGTACTCAGATCTTGTTCTTGAGTAAAAGTAGAAGTACTCAGATCTTGTACTTGAGTTAAAGTAGAAGTACTCAGATCTTGTACTTGAGTAAAAGTAGAAGTACTCAGTTCTTGTTCTTGAGTAAAAGTAGAAGTACTCAGATCTTGTACTTGAGTAAAAGTAGAAGTACTCAGATTTGGTACTTGAGTAAAAGTAGAAGTACTCAGGTCTTGTTCTTGAGTAAAAGTACTCAGATCTTGTAGTTGAGTTAAAGTAGAAGTACTCAGATCTTGTACTTGAGTAAAAGTAGAAGTACTCAGATCTTGTACTTGAGTACAATTAGAAGTACTCAGATCTTGTACTTGAGTAAAAGTAGAAGTACTCAGATCTTGTACTTGAGTAAAAGTAGAAGTACTCAGATCTTGTACTTGAGTAAAGGTAGAAGTACTGAGATCTTGTTCTTGAGTAAAAGTAGAAGTACTCAGATCTTGTACTTGAGTTAAAGTAGAAGTACTCAGATCTTGTACTTGAGTAAAAGTAGAAGTACTCAGATATTGTACTTGAGTAAAAGTAGAAGTACTCAGATCTTGTACTTGAGTAAAAGTAGAAGTACTCAGATCTTGTTCTTGAGTAAAAGTAGAAGTACTCAGATCTTGTACTTGAGTAAAAGCAGAAGTACTCAGATCTTGTGCTTGAGTAAAAGTAGAAGTACTTAGATCTTGTTCTTGAGTAAAAGTAGAAGTACTCAGTTCTTGTTCTTGAGTAAAAGTAGAAGTACTCAGATCTTGTACTTGAGTAAAAGTAGAAGTACTCAGGTCTTGTACTTGAGTAAAGGTAGAAGTACTCAGATCTTGTACTTGAGTAAAAGTAGAAGTCCTCAGATCTTGTTCTTGAGTAAAAGTAGAAGTACTCAGATCTTGTACTTGAGTAAAAGTAGAAGTCCTCAGATCTTGTTCTTGAGTAAAAGTAGAAGTACTCAGATCTTGTTCTTGAGTAAAAGTAGAAGTACTCAGATCTTGTACTTGAGTAAAAGTAGAAGTCCTCAGATCTTGTTCTTGAGTAAAAGTAAAAGTACTCAGATCTTGTACTTGATTAAAGGTAGAAGTACTCAGGTCTTGTTCTTGAGTAAAAGTAGAAGTACTCAGGTCTTGTTCTTGAGTAAAAGTACTCAGATCTTGTACTTGAGTAAAAGTAGAAGTACTCAGATCTTGTACTTGAGTAAAATTAGAATTACTCAGATATTGTACTTGAGTAAAAGTAGAATTACTCAGATCTTGTACTTGAGTAAAAGTAGAAGTACTCAGATCTTGTACTTGAGTAAAAGTAGAAGTACTCTTTTCATAAACCTTTTTACCTTACACTTTTTACATCTTGGTGCTTTTTAACTCTATGTTGTATCCTGCTGAAGGTGTTCAGTGATGGGACGTCTGGATCTGAAGATATCTGAGAAACAAGCTGAGCTAAAGTTAGCGACAGCCGAACAGCATGCAGAAGAAACTCCTTCTTTATTCGTCGTTTTTACGGGGTTTTGGTCACCAGGTCTGTTTGTTGTGGAGATGGAGAGACCTCTGTGGCTAATTCAACTCCTGCTGATCACTTAGAAACAATCGGAACAAACTTTGAGATAAGATAATCTTTTATGATTCCACAGTGGGGTCATTTGCAGTGTTACAGCATTAAAGGAACAACAAGTCGAATCGGAGAAAGGCATGATATAATAAATAAGTAAAATCTCAAATAGATAATATTAATAGTTACATCGAAATATGATATTGCACATGAATGATTGAATTGAGCTTTGGTCGGGTTGGACTTGGTGGAGGGCTAAGACATAAGCACTGACATGTAATCACATTTTAAGTTGATATGACTAGTTTCTTATATCTTCATCGAGCAGTTACAGAGCAAGACAATCATTCATTAGGAGTATTTTTGTCCAAGTCACATTTTCTCTCTTTTTGCCACCAACAAGTCTAACTAAGCTTCCTGCACAGTGAAGCTAAAACACATCAGAGAAATAATTTAATCACATGTTTGAGTAGATGGAGTCTTTCTTCCTCAATGAGGTTATTTAAATGTGAAAAATATTTCAAATACGGAAGACAAAATTATGTCTGAAAGTCTATTTGAGGTTCATTTGTCTAAACGTCTCCTCTTGGTCAGTGTGTTCGATGGCTTCTTCTTCGTCTGTGGTGCTACCGGATCTGCCTTCTTCTTCTTCTGTGGTGCTACCAGATCTGCCTTCTTCTTCTTCTTCTTCTTCTGTGGTGCTTCCGGATCTGCCTTCTTCTTCTTCTTCTTCTTCTGTGGTGCTACCAGCTCTGCCTTCTTCTTCTGTGGTCCTGTAACGGTCCATTTAGAAATGAAAGAGAAGACAGTTTTTAAAAAGTCTTTAAAGGAAATGCATTTTT